CGCCCCGCCCGCCGGACGCCCCGCCCACCTGGTCCCTGGCCAAACTCAACGCCTGCACGAGGTCCTCTGCCCGCAGGTGCAGGTCCCGCTCGACGCCGTCGCAGCGCCGCTGCCAGTCCAGCTCCAGCTGGGCCTTGTCCCGCTGCAGGCTCTGCTCCCGGCCGGCCGCCAGGGCCAGCTGCTGCCTGTACCTGCAGGCGCGCAAAGCACTCGGAAGGGACGTGGGGCGGCCACCAGGCACAGCGGGCAGGGCCAGGCCCCCACGGGGAGCCCCGAGGGGAGCGGTCATGCACGGGAGCTGGGCGCAGTTCGCAAGCATCTGCCCTGTGCCATCGAGGCTCAGAAACCAAGGAGCACCGAGCGTGGAGGGAGCTCTCGAGGAGCCGGCATGTGCCCCCTGGGGCAGGACGGGTGCCCACAGCACTGCCCACCTGGCCACGTCCTGCTGGCTCCCGGCCAGCTGGGCCCGGAGCGAGGCCGCCTCTTCCCGCAGTGCCTGCGCCTGTAGGTCCTTGGAGACCATCTCCTGGGACAGCTGGGCAACCTGGGCATCCCAGCCGGACTTGAGCGCCAGCGCATCCTCACGAAGCCTGGACAGACAGGACGGGCCTCTGCTTGCTGCTGCATGCCCCACGCATGGCACCCGGCCTCCCACGAGGACTCATGGAACTGACACCCTCGCCTGCACTGCCCTCAGTCTCACCCTGATCCAGGAATACTACCCAGCCCCGAAAAAGGGGAACCACAGGGGGCTACTGCCTGAGGCCACCTCCACGATATGAAAGTGAGACTCAGACACCAAGAACATGGCTAGAGGGCTGGCTTAGGGGTCAGACCTGCAGAAATGGGGTGGAGGGCAGGGCTGGGACGGCCCACGGGACAGAGCCTCCTCTGGGGTGTTGGGGCAATGCCACAGCCACAGAGACCCAGTGCAGGTTCCTGCACTGAGAAATGACTGAAGTAGCAGTTTCCTGTTACATACACTGTACAACAGGTGTATACACCCCCCACACACACTAACTACAAAGAAAGGGAAGAAACAGGCTGGCCGAGAGCAACGCTGGAGTGACTGGGGCCCCAGGCCAGGCCACACTGGCTGGGATGAGGGGCTCACCGCTCAATGAGGGCGTCCTTCTCCCTGGCCACGTCGGCCTGCCTGCCCGCCGCCGCGCGGAGCTGGGCCTCCAGGGCCTCGCACCGGGCCTGCAGCTCCCGGGCCCCGGCCTCCAGCGCCTGCAGCTGCTCCGCCTGGGCGTCCCTCACTGCCGCCAGCGCCAGGTCCCTCTCCCTGGCCAGGCGGTCCAGCTCCTCGTGCCTGCAACAGAGGGGGTCCTGCACTGCTCGGGCCCTGCGCCCACTCCTGCGGGCCTGCCCAGCCCTCTACGGGCAGCCGACCTGCTGCTCCTGGGTGCCCGGACGCAAGTCCCCACCCCCAGACCCTGGCCCCGCCGCCCAGGGAGGCGCCGCCTTGCCGGAGGGGCCGCCCTGGGCAGCCCTGCGCCGTGTCTGAGGCCGGCTCCGACCCTGGCCTGGGGCTCCCGGAGGACGGGGCGCTGGCAGCGCCAGCCAGTTCCCCGTGACGACGCACCAGGTCTCAGCGGCAACACAAAGAGCCCTCCGGGCTGTGAATCTGCCTGTCCCTTGGGCCCCTCGGCCCTGACCTCACAGGACAGCCTGGGCCACCCATGGCCGTCTCCACCCCCGCCCAGCTGCAGGCTCTGTGGCGGGACCTGCGTGGCAGCGACGGCCCTGTGGTCACCAGGCCGCATGTCGCCCACAGCGGGGCACCCGGCCGGCCTGTCCGAGGGCACAGCCACGCCCCAGGGGGAGTCGGGGGTGCCCACAAG